GGGTGATTGCAAACATTCCAAAACCAATTGTGGTGATGGTTGCTAAAGATATGCTAGAAACCACTGAATTGTAAACTTTCCATGAATGAATTGTATGATCCATGACTTATAGCTCAGGAAAGTTATTTGTTTGTTTTTTTTAAACCCACTTAATCTCATTCTCTTAGAATTATGTCAATTATTAATCAAGCAAGGTTCTCGAGTTTTTCAGATACTCATGTTGAATACTTTTTTAAAAAATGCTGACTCCCGGGGCACCTGGGTGGCTCAGTCATTAAGCATCTGCCTTCGGCTCAGGTCATCGTCCCAGGGTCCTGGGGTCGAGCCCCACATCGGGCTCCTTGCTCCGCCGGAAGCCTGCTTCTCCCTCTACCAGTTCTCCTTGTGTTCCCTCTCTCGCTATGTCTCTCTCTGTCAAATAAATAAATAAAATCTTTTAAAAAATGCTGACTCCTGCTAATATTTAGCTACTCTGGATAATTACTTATTAACAGAAACAATACTGTCAAAATGTTCTGCATGTCCGATCAGTCATAAAGATAAACACATTTCAAAATCCTTTTTGAAAGAAAAACAAACCATGAAAGGCATTGTAGACATTGGCCTAAGTCATGTACTTTAAAAAGTACCTATTAAGAATGACTTGGCATTTTGGGGTTTTGTTCCCCTGACTTGCCTGGAATTCAATCCTCAGCTCAACCAACAAATGTAGAGACTGCAGCCCGAGTGACTATTACTCGTAGAGACCCCTGAAGGGAGACCAGATCGCTCAGGGAGTGGGCAAAGGATCCCTGGGGCCCCTCACCATCCAGCTGGGGCCCTGCTGGTGGAAGTCACTGATAGTCACGTGGCATTGATTTAGATCAGCATTTCTCAACTTCGGCACTATTGGGGGACAGGTAATTCTTTGCTGGGTGTGGGTGGGTGGGTATTTCTTGTGCTTTACAAAGGATTTTTAACAGCATCCCTGGCCTCTAAAATTAGACAGTGTCATCCCCTAATTGTGACACCAAACATGTCTCTAGATGTTGCCCCCCAGGGTTGCAAAATTGCCCCTATTTGAGAACCACTCTCTAGATGACTCCAGAACCCAGGACAACCTGGGAACAGAAGAACTAGTCCTGAGGAATTGGGATCTAGTTTTCTGAGAAAATGCTCCCCAAAGAATGGTGTGAGAAAGTCATGTTGTTCGTATCAGCTTGCAGAAAGAACGTTTCAGCCTGCATTGAGAGAAGGTCCAGAGAAGAGAGGGCCAGGAGCCATGGCTTCCCCTGATAGTCCACCGAGCCCCTTCACACACTGCCCTCATGATCCTCAAACAGCCTGTGAGGAGTGAGGCACATGCTGTCAGCCCCACTGTGAAATGAGAAGACTCAAGTCCAAGGCCAAAGCTCCTCAGACCTGCTGACTCATCCTTCTGCCTCCTTCCTTCCCTTCATGGGGCTGCTACCCTCCAGGTCTGGTATAGCTGGGAAAAGAGTTCTGGGCAAACATGTGGCCTCCGGGTGGGAGAGTAAAAAGGGGGTGGGTACTACCCTGCCTCAGCCCCTTGCTGCAGCCAGTAGCCTCAGGCAGCTCACTCAGCTTGCCTGGAAAATTTGGTTTCCTCGTGTGTGGGAAAACTGGACTATCTCCTGTCTGAAGGGCCTCCATCCTGTTACTCCAGCCTAAAGCAGCCTGTCCTGCATGTGTTGCATTTACAGTTTCAAAGTTTTCCCATAAACTCTATCTTCCCTGCCCCCAGCCCTGACCTCTAGAGTGTTCCCATTTCACAGATGGAGAAATGAACACCAGAGATAAGCCACCTGCCTTGGCCACACAGCTGGACATAAAGCCAAGTCTTATAGTCCTTACTCTACTAATGGAATGGGGACAAAGAAGGGATCCCTGGAGCCAGCAGGGGAGGGAAACCTGGTCCTTTCCCACCCTGGCTCAAGCTAGGGCTGGGCTCTGGTGCATTCCCTCCCACAGCAGGCTAGGCAAAGAGGATGTGCTAGTCCGAGAGCCTGAGCTTCCTGGGTCTGTGGGGCCCCTAAAAGGGAGAGTAAAAACCTGTCCCTGAAGCTTTGAGCAGTTCTCTGCTTTGCAATTGGAAGAGACTAGGATTTATCTCTGAATTCCTTTATTCTAAGGAAAACACCTCAACGGCCCTTCTAATACTGAAATGTCACGTCAAACTCTTCTAAAATGGCTCAGTCGGGAGAGCATCTGACTCTTGATTTCAGGGTCGTGAGTTCGAGCTCCACATTGGGTGTAGAGATCACTTTAAAACTTTTTTAAAAATGGAGATATTGGAAACCTAAGGAAAAGAGATTAGCCATGGGACAGATGAGTCTCAACTAAGAAACAAGGACAGTGGAGAGAGTGTTCCAGCATCTGGCCTGGATTAGAGCCCCTGTGGGCAGAGGGAAAGGTGGAGGGACCAGGTGACAGGGTGCACGGGGTTGGAAAGGAGGCCCTGGGTGGAGACCGTGATAAGTGGCTTCAGGACATCTGGTGTCCCCAGTGCGAACCATCAGCCAGGTGCCTGAGCAGCTTCTCTGGGAGCATCTTGTGCAAAAACAACCAGGAAGCCCTCTGAGGGGGCTGAGTCCCTCCCGGGACAGAGGAGGCAGAAGGAGCTGTAGCCAGTCACGCTACTGTGGGTGTTGGGGAGTGATCTCATGCTCTGTTACACACGCAAGCTTGGGCAGCACACAGGTGACCCTGAGAATAAACACACCTCCCCAGATTGTGAATCATAGCATTATTGCAAGGAGTGTTCACCAGGCTCTGGTTTTCAAAAGGCTCTGCACATTAGCAAAAGCATAATAAGAAACTTAATTATAGTTGTTTTGTAGGTAGGCCAATAGTTACCTATAAAACATGCTTGCTGATTTGATGAGCAAAATTGAATTTCATGGTTTATTAATTTGAATTTCTTAGATTATTTCTGAAGTCAAATATGTTTCTAAACTTTTAGTGGACCCTTGTATGGTGGCTATGTGTTGCCTGATCAAGTTATTTGCCTCCTAAGGAGTGTTTAGGTTTGTTTTGTTGTTGTTGATTTGTTTCCAGCTATAAACCAGGTCTTTATTTTTCCTGATCTGTGATGTATCTTCTTTTTTAAGTAATCTTTTTAGATGAAGTCACATAACACAATTAACGATTTTAAGTGAATGGTAAACGCATTTAGTATATTCACCATGTTATGCAACGACCACCTCTATATGATTCCAAAACATTTCCATCACGTCAAGTACACATTTTTCCCCACAGCGTTGAAATGGTTTGATCATCTAACAACAACAGCAAAAAAAAAAACCCTCTGATTTTGATCACTTTAATTCCTAATATAAAAATACAAGTTGATAATTACATATTGTGTAATACAGAAGGTTCTCTATGGTGGACATTTGGGTAACAGCTGAGATGCCAATGTAAGTTCATGATGCTCAAAAAAATGCATTCACTACAGTTTGCTTTGCAATATGACTAAATCTAATTCTTTTTGCAAAAATAGGATGGTCGGGACGAAAGGTACCAAAAAAGTGACTTTTTTTCCTTCTTATGCCAAATGTTTCTTATAACATTTTTGCTTATTAATTTCTTGGTTAAATTTTCCTGGCATGTGGGATTTGTATTCTGTGCCCCACGCTTCCTGGAACCAGTCCAATTATGCTCATTGCCCCTGCTCCTGCCAGCTCTCAAGGGTATGGCCAACTGTCCAACGTGCTAACAAAGAAATTGTCAGATGTGAAAGAAGAGGGATGAGGGTCTCTGGGACCTATTTGAGGCTTTCTTTCTGATGAAAAATGCATTGAAAAAGAGAATTCTGCTGGGAAAGAGTGATCTGAAGCCTTTCAAAGGTATAAATATTAAAACAGAAACAAAGAACTCACAAGTTTTTAACTTTCCATAGTAGCTCTGGGCTCTCTTCCCATATGTCAGGAAGGCATCTAAGAACATTTGCCTTAGGTCAGAGGTCAATATACTTTTTCTATAAAAGGTCAGGTAGTAAATATGTAGGCTTAGTGGGCCACATGCCTCTCTGCCACGTATTCTTTGTGGTTGCTGTTTTTAACATCCCTTTAAAAATATAAAAACAAGGTGACTGTGTGGCTCAATTGGTTAAGTGTCTGCCTTTGGCTCAGGTCATGATCCCGGGGTTCTGGGATCAAGCCCCAAGTTGCGCTCCCTGCTCAGCAGGAAGCCTGCTTCTCCCTCTCCTTCTACCCCTCTCCACGCCCCCCACACTTGCTCTCTCCTTCTCTCTCTCCCTCCCTCTCAAATAAAATAAAAATTAAAAAATGAAATAAAAATATAAAAACCATTCTTAGCTCTGGGCCATATAAAAAAAACAGACCTCTGGGCAGATTTGGTCCACTAGCTGCTGTTTGATGATCTCTGCTTTGTGGGCCCAGAACAAAGCATGTTCCAGAGGTGGGAGAATGGGTTTCCCCATGGACTGTCCTCTCAGCAATGCATCCTCTTGTTCAAGCCTTCACTTGTTTCTTCAACAGGTGGGTGTCTGATTTAGACTGGAAATTTCTAAGGCTCATTCTATGTTCTGTGACTGTCCCCAGATGACCTAGCTAAAGATAACCTCCTGTTGTTGCAGGCATGCCCCCTGTCTTCATCCAAAGCCTCAGCATCATTCAGAACCTCAGCCTCAGACCCATACACCCTTCTACTCTGAGCCCAGCATTCCCTTCTTCAGGAAGCCCTCACAGGTGACAGTTGGCTAAGAGCGCAATGAGTGAGGGAAGATTGAGCATGTAAGAACAATATCTGCCCATAAAGAAACAGAGCAATCAAAAAGAAATAAAACTACCAACCTGAGACAGGACTCCTTTCTTCTTGCGGTTGGCCCCTCCAATGAAAACCATATTGGGCATGACCGGTCTGGGATACTCAAACACAAAGTCGTATCTTAACAGCCAAATGGAGCCCCTCTGATACAAGGTGGGTAAAAGCACAGCTCTCTTGAGGATATTGGAGGTGAGGTCTTCATACTTTGACTACAGGCAGTAGAACAGATAGGTCTCCAAGTAATTAACGAGGTAGTTGGCCACCCGTTGGGGGAACGTCATCTGGTCTGAGAACTGAGTGTAGCATCTGGGAATGTGGGACACAGGGTTTGGGCTCCTGCTCATTGTATGCTCCAGGGAGCATGGGAAGCCCCTGAAGAGGTACATAGAGGGCAGGCCCAGGTACTCGGCCAGGATGGCCCCGCAGGATAGGGCTGGGTCTGTGAAAAGGGCATCGAACTTGCTCTCCCTGAGGACACTCAGGATGGCCGCGTCCTCCAGGAGGCTCTGGCAGTTGGTGAAGTACATGTCAATAACAATCATGCTATTCCTGTACTCCATCTGAGCAGCGTTCAGGAGCCATCTCTCAGCAAAGTGATTGTTTCCAAAAGAGTGGTAACGATTCTCCAGCTCTTTCTGGTCGAATGGCACTGGGTAGATTTTTCTTGTGTAGTGCTTGGATTCCTTCAGAAGCAAATTGACTTCTGGTACCAGCACCACAATGTCATGCCCCTTTTCACTGAGGAGCTCAACTATGTCCTTCATACTGAGCCAGTGGCTTCCAACCTGAGAGACCACCAGCATTTTGTCACCTACAACCCCCGCCCAGAGCACTAAGAAGAGAACTTTCTGAAACATGTGGAGGAGGCAGGCCATCTGGGGGACAGTACAGGTAGCAACAAGAATAAACAGTTCATGCTCCCTCAACCTCATGGCTCCTGGCTCTTTTCCCTAAACAAACCAGTGCTCTTTATAGCCCCTGCCCACCTCTCCTTGCTCTGAATTTTGCCCCTTGTTTTAAAAGAACCTAAATTAATATTTAACCATTTTTATAGCTCAAGTGAACCTGAACCAATGAGGTCCCTTATCAGATTTCACCTGAGCTTCTGGGTTTATTTTTCTCTTTCTCTCCACCATTCCGCCTCCCCTTCCCAAACCCAGTCACACTTGGAGGACAGCTTGTGAGGGCCCTGGAGGCTGGTGGCCGGCCTCTGTCCTGAGTTTTCTGGATTCCACAGCTTGGGGATGATGTCCACAGATGAATAGCTCTTAGCCCTTCTCTGCTTCCTCAACTTTTCTCCGAAAGGAAGTGTCAGCAGATGCCAAATTCAAGATTTGAAACAACAGAACGGAGCTGCCTACTCCAGTTCCTGGTGATCTGGCTACCATAGCCATAGCTGAATTAAAAAGTAGACTGCAGGAAGCTGAGGGGACACAGAGAAGTCTGATCTAGCTCCCCCCATTCTCTGGGGTAAACCACTGTTTGGGGGAGCTTTCTGTTCTATCAGAAGACGGAATCTAATCCTGAAGATACATGCTCTAAAACCAGAATTCCCACGTTGACCGTGGTTAAAAGCAAAAGTGTTGGAGTCAGCCTACCCCTTCCGAGCTGTGCATTCCCACTGCTCTGTGCCTGACTTCCCCATTTCTCAAACGGGAGTTGCCTCTGTACCACCCTCCGGGGGGTTGGGGGGAGGGCTGTGAAAATTCGTGAGTCAGTTCGTAATCCGTGGGTGCCCAGGACAGGTCCCTTGGAGGGGCTCCCTCTGGCTGTCACCAGGCAGCTGGGTTCTATGTGATATGAACTAAGGAGCACTCTGGTGGTCAGAAAGTAGCTCCTAAAAGCTCAGCAATTGAAAGATCCAGCTCTGCACTGTCAATGCGAGAGTATAGGAGGAATACAAGGGGACAGAAGAGGAGGTGGAAAAATTAAAAGGGAAGAAAATGTAGAAATATAAAACCATGGGAAGGCATCCGGTGACAAGGCATTTGACGACAGCAACTGACCAACCAGCAGTCAAAATAAGAAGGAGGCTCTAGCTTCAGGAGCCTTGACACCTGCAGAATGCTTTCTGGCTTGCAAAACAGGTTCCCATTGTCTTAGCATCCTAGGGTCTCTGCAACAAAGTATCACACACGGGCTGGCCCAAACAACAGAAATGTATTCCCATAGTTCTGCAGGCTGGAAGTCTGAGACCAAGGCATCAGCGAGGTTGAGTCCTTCTGGAGGCTCCAAGACAGAGTCTGTTCCTCTCTCCTAGCTCCTGGTGGTTTGCTGGCAATCTTTGGCATTACTAGATAGATGCAGCCATCACTTCATCTCTACCTTCATGTTCACCCTTCTTCCTGTGTTTGTCCGTGTCCAAATTTCCCCTTTTCATTAGGACACCAGTCATACTGGATTAGCGCCCACCGCCAATGATCTCCTCTTAACTAACGTATTTCCAAAAAAGGTCACATTCCAAGGTCCTGGGTATTAGGACCTCAACACATCCTTCCAGGGACACAAGTTAACCCATAGTGCTCATCTATCATCTCACACAATTCAAACCCCAAAGTACAGGTCCGATCATCCTTGTACATGCAAGAAACTGAGGCTTGCTGCTTTACAGAAAGGACATTTTTGGGGGAACTTCTGCAGCTCAGAAGGAAATACAAGAACTGGACCCTTCCAGATCTGCCGTTCTCAAACCTTTCCATCTCAGGACTCCTTTACCCTCTTGGCAACAATGGAAGACCCCCCCCAAAACTTTTGTTTATGTGGGTCATGTCTATCCAGATGAACCGTTTTAGAAACTAAAACTGACACATATAAAAAAGACTTCCTCACTCATTTACAATAACAAGAATAAGCCCATGACAAGTTAGCATGACTGACATCTTTTGTGAAAAAAATACTCTATTTCCCCAAACAAAAAATTGGTCAGAAGTGCGACATTGTTTTACACATTCTGCAAGCAAGCCCTTGTGATATGAACGTCTGTCTGGCTTGGTAGAGGACAGCAGGACTCTGCCACCCGCCTCTGCACTCAGCCTGTCCAACACCACACCTCACGGAGCCTTTGGAAAACTCCACAGTACCATGGTGAGAAGATGAAGTGGAAAAAGCAAGTAACGTCTTGGCACTATTATGAAATCATTTGACCTCAGAAACTCCCGGGAAGGGTCTCAGGGATCCCTCAGTTTCTCTACTTTGAAAATCACTGCTCTAGATCAGGGGATGGCAATTTTTTTTTTCTGGAAAGGCCTAAATAGTACATATTTGAGCTTTTGTAGGCCATTGCCCTAGTTAATGATACAAGCCAAGAGATCACCTCTTCCCTGCCCCCCATATCCACATGGTTCACTCCCTCCCTTCATGTCAGCTTCAGTCAGTGTCATGTCCAAGAGACCTTCTCCGGTGAGCCTATTATTAAATAACGCAGCCCAACACTGGAAGCCCTTCACCCTCCTTATATTCCTCTGTTTCATTCATCACTACCTAACCTATTGTTTACTTATGCGTCTCCCCCGACTAGAATGGGAGCACCCTGAGGGCAGGAACAATATTTGTTTTGTTCTCTGCTGTATGCCCTGTGTCTAGAAGAATGCCAAGCATACAGTAGGCTCTCCATAAATGTTTGCTGATTAATGAACGAGACTTTGGTTTACCTGTTTTATTCCTACATTTCTTTTCTCTTTTTTTCCTTTTTTTTTCTTTTTTTTAAGCAGACTCCATGCCCAGCATGGAGCCCATCATGGGGCTTGAACTCACCACCCTGAGATCAAGACCTGAGCTGAAACCAAGAGCCAGATGCTTAACCAACTGAGCCGCCCAGGCACCTCCCTCCTACGTTTCATTTTCATGTTTCTTTCCAAGTTGTGAGAATTCACATATGAAATTTAAGGAACCATATGCTCTTTTTTGAGAAGAAACTGGTCAATGGCATTATGAGCATGTGATGGGTCACTTGCCTTTTAGAAAGTTAAGATCTGAGAAGTCTAAGTGTAGCCAGCAGGTGGAGAGGGCCCTGGAGCAGGATTTGGACAGCTTGGAGCCCGCTTCCAGCCCTGCTCTCTGTCAGCCTGGGGCATGACCCATCTCCTGACTGTCTGGTTTCTCAACTGAGACCCAGAGAGAGAGGATCATGTTTATCCTACCACATGACCGGGGGAGGTCCAAGAGGATGATAGATGTGGAAACCAGGCTGTCTAAGGGAAAGGTGGTTCCTTGCATGGCTAGAACAGACTCGCCCACAGATAGTCACGCACAACTGAATTGTCACAAAAGGTCTTGTCATAACCCATGCCTTTTGGCTCCAGAGGCATGCTGGGACCTAGGAAAGGAGAAGAAGCCTAAGGAATGGCACAGAAGGCACCATCCCAAGCACATCCCCAGGAATGCAGCCAAGATGCAAATTCACTGCAACCTCCTCCAGGGAGGGACGCCAGCAGGATTTCCCACTTACAATGATCAGAGTCTGGAGGGGGGCAGCATCCTGGTTTGTGTCCATCTAGATAGCAGTAAGACCCCAAGATGGTTACAAAATGAGCAAAGAACAGGTCCACCCCTCCAGAGCAGGCAGGAGCTAAGCAGGTCCTAAGAGCAGTACATCGGGAGGCAGAAAGGCTTAAGCAAATATGTGGAGGTGAGAGGTGGGAGAAGCGAGATGTGCTACAGACCTCAGCTGCTTCACACCAGACCCCCATTCTGCTGAGAACTTTGGCCTGGGCCCTTCCTAGCAGAGCCTTGCTCTTGTCTTTGTGTTGTTCAGCAAGAAGCCTGGGAAAAGGGGGCGGAGCAAGATGGCGGAAGAGTAGGAGACCTAGATTTTCTCTGGTCTCAGGAATTCAGCTGGATAGGGATCAAACCATTCTGAACACCTATGAACTCAACAGGAGATCGAAGAAAAGAATAGCAACAACTCTCTGAACAGAAAAGTGACCACTTTCTGGAAGGTCTTTTCTGATTTGTTTAGAGTATATTTTCT